CCCCCCCAGATTTTATTTATTTGAGTGAAAGAGAGCGCGGGCATGACTGGGGAGGGGCCAGCCGACTCCTGGCTGAGCAGGGAACCCGATGTGGGGCTGGATCCCAGAATCCTGAGATCAGGACCTGAGCAGAAGACAGCCGCATCACCGACTGAGCCACCCAGGCGCCCCAAGAAGCTGAATATTTTGAGGTTAATATTATATGTAATGACTTTAGCATCATTCACTTCCCCCATAGGCAATGAAGGGTTAAGGACCTTCTGGGTTGGTCACTGCTGTGTTTCCAGTCTGGTACGTGGCACGGCCTGTACGTGTTGAAAGAACCAGTAAGTCTGATGAGTGGAGAGGTGCACAAGAATGCAGAGCCTGGGGCCACCCAGAGCGGATACACCTTCCCTTCCTTGCCATGGTCTGATGACCTAAAAACAACTCAGACGCGTGTTTTTACAACTTTTTTAATATATATTTTTATAAACAGGTCACGTGATAAAATAGCACAAGAAACACTTACCAAATATAAGGTTATATCTTCCGCATATACAGGAGAATGAGGTCGTTATGTACAATAAGAAAATGGTTTTAGGGGTTGGTTGGTTTTGTTTGTTTTCCTCTCTCCCCTTAATTTTTCCTCCTACATCGTTGGAAATATCACAGCTTCAGTTGCATTAATACTTTGGACAAATGGACAGCTGCCTCCTCCCCACTAGGGAGCTGTGAGGAGGAGGGGCTGAAGAAACTGGCTCCTGACCACCTCAGCCCCGGAGCTTCCTGCGGGCACTCCAGGACAGGGAAATCTTTGGGCTGTTGAACTCTTTCTCTGCTTCAACAGCATCGCTCGCTCGCTCGTGCGCTCTCGCTCTCTCGCTCTCTCGCTCTCTCTCACTCTCTGGCTCTCTGGAAACTGGTTACTTTCTTCCAACCAGATGGGGGGTGTCCCAAGATTGGGTGTGGGCACTGTACTTCCTGGGGCTCCAAGGTTGGGATGGGAAGGGGTCCCAGCCCCCTCCTCAGCAATTGCCAAGATGTGCCAGCATCCTCCCAGGACTCACATGTGTCTTGGGATTGGACAGAACATGGCCAGAGCCGCTTTGGGCAGGCGGAGGTTTGGGAAGCTGGGGAGGGGAGGGGGGCAGCTCGAAAGGAGCCCTCCCTCCTCTGGATGCTGAGGGTGTGCTGGCCACTTATAAGACTGGACTTGCCTGCTGGCGCTGATCCTGAGTCTTGGCTGGGCCTGCTTGTCCAGCTTCCACCTGACAGAGACCCGCCCGGGATGCAGTGTGGCACTGAGGAGGCTGGGCCCCGGTGGCTACAGGGGCTGTGGTGTGGGGTCCACTCAGGACTGTGTGCAAGGCCTGCGGGGCCTGAGGGTCACTCCAGCTTGTGGTCTCTCAAGGTGGTTGTATCCCCCCTGCAGCTGAGGTAAGCTACAGCCAGCTGGGTTAATGTTGATTATAGCAAGATGGTTGTCAGCCAGTCTGTTCCTCCCTCAAATACAGTTCTTCCCTAGCCTGGCCCAAGGACCTGTAGGCCTGCAGGTGGGGGTGGGGCGAGCAGGGGGCTGCCTCACACGGGGGCAAGGAAAAGGGGAGGTCTCTTGGGTCAGGCTGGCATGAGCTGGGGCAAGGGGAGGTGGGACTTGGGCTCCTTGGCGGGCCATGGCTTTGGCGGTGGCCTGTTCCCCCTCGCACCCCTCCGAGGGCTCCAGGCGTGGTGCAGTGGAAGATGCGGGAAGCCCTTGGGGCTCTTCTGGCCCCTGTGTCCTGGGGGACCCAGCTCCCCTCAATCCCTCTGGGCCCTGCCCGAGATGGGGGGACAGCGGGGAGACAGAGCGGGGTGTGGCGGGAAAGGCGGTAGGGGGGCCGTCAGGAGAGCTCAAAGCGCCCCCCAGGACCAAGCCCCGCCCCCGCCCCCAGCGGGCGGACAAAAGATGGAGGCGGCTGTGGTGCGGTGGAGGGCGGGCGTGCAGTGCGGGCACGAGGGGCATGCACAGAGTCCCCGAGTGTGCGTGCGTGCGTGGGGCTGGGCCCGCCCGCCGCCCCTCCCGGCCCGGGCGGGGCCAGGAGGGGCGCGGGGCGGGGCTTTCACTGGGTTCGCTCTGCCTCCCGCGCTGGGCCGCGGGCGCGAGGGCTGCCCTGAGGGCAGGGCCGGGAGAAGGCGTCCCCGCCGGGAGCGTGGCCGCTTCCTGCGCCGGGGGCGGGGAGGCCCGCGCTACTCGATGACGAGACAGCGGGGCAGGTGCTGCGAGAAGTACTTGAAGAGCTCGGGGGTGGCCCCGGGGCAGTTGGTCAGCTCCAGCTCCTCCAGCTCCTGCAGCTGCACCAGGCCAGACAGCCCCGTGGTGGTCAGCAGCGGGCAGCCTGCAGCGGGCGGGAGGCGGGGCGGCGGCCTTGAGCGCGCGGGGGCCCGAGAGCAGCGCTAGGGCGGGGCCGGGCTGGGCGGGGCTCGCCCGGCGTCTCCGTCTGGTCCGGGGCCAGGGACCCCGGGACTCAGCGCCAGGTATGAATCAGTGCGAGGGACCCGGCAGGGCTGGCAGAGTCGGAGTAGGTGGGGGTGGGGTGGGGTGGGGTCTCACCTGCCAGAGACAAGAGACGCAGACTCCTCATGGCCAGGAGGTGCTTCAGCCCGAAGTCCTGCACCTGGGCGGGAGGGCGGGGCGGGTTAAGGACCTCCGCTCGCGCCCTGGGGGAGCCCACTGCTGGGGTCAGGCCTTAGGCCTGGAGCTGCTGGAGGGGCAGGGGGCGGGGTTCAAAACGGGGGTTTCTCGGCTTCGCAAGGGGCCAGGAGGCAGCTGGAGAGTGGCGGTGAGGACCTCGGGGTGGGTGTGGAGGGATCCCATACTTCTTCACGGGATCTGAGGGCGCCGGGGGCAGGTCAGCGGATTGTGTGCGCGGGGGCTTTGCCCGAGTCCCCCACCTCCCCTTGCCTACTCCGCAATCTTCCGAGGCGGGGAAGGCCGGTACCTGGCAGCACCATCGCAGGTAGAGGCTGCGGAGGGAGGACATGGTGGACAAATAGCTGAGGCCAGTATCCGTGATGCGTACACACCTGTGGGGGCGACAGAGGGGCGCTGCCCACCTTCAGAACACCTCGCCCCGCGCGTCAGCCCCGACCCCTTCCTTCCTCCTTTTCCCAGGGCGTCCCCTCCGGCAGCACTTAGGATAGTTCCTCCCTTTGCACAGCCTCCCCCCAGCCAGGCTCCGCCCCTTACCCAGGTGCTTGGCAGTTACAGCCCGTTCTAGGTCCGGGGTTTCTGAGGGCCCGCCCCTCAACCCCCTCCTCGGGGCTCCGCAGCTACAGGTCTGTCCGTTAATCTAGGCTCCCTGCTTAGAAGGTCTTGCCGGCCTTGCCCCGCCCCGCCCCGGTTCTGCCCTCCAAGTGTCCCGTGGGGGGGGGGGGACGCGCACACCTGTCCAGCACCAGCTCCTCCAGGCGGTGCAGGTCGCAGGCCACGTACTCGAGCGCCATGTCGGTGATGCGCGGGCACCACGAAAGGTCGAGGCTGCGCAGCTTGCGCAGGTTTTCCGCCACGAGCTCGACACCGTCGTCGGTGACCTTGGAGCAGCCGGAGAGGCTGAGCGCTGTGAGGTTGGGCAGGCTGTGCACCACGTTGACCACGCCGTGGTTGGTGATCTCCCAGCAGGAAAGCAGGCGCAGGGTGTGCGTGCTGTGGCCCTGGCGTGCTGTGAAGTAGGCCAGCGCCGTGTCCGTCACGTGGTAGGCCTGCAAGCTCAGCTCGGCCAGGTTGGGCAG